TACCTGTACCTGTACACAGATGTGTGGAACAACAGAAGAGTTTTGTCAACCTGCCCCAACATCCCAAGTAATTCTGGACTGCAATTCCATGCTATAACTAATGCTCTTTCTCTGCTCTCACAGAATTCTTAAAAATTATATAGTGACTATATAGTATTGACTATAGATTTATTGACTATCCATGGCAAGAGTAGAGGTTGTACCCAATGGTGGTTTTTAAGAACAGTCTCCACTACTCACCACAGGGCAAAGAGCTATCAAAGGATAGTTGGGAAAACCAAACCAAAACAATAACAAACAATCAAAAGCCTCTGAGTCAGGAATTAACATCTTAGAAGACTGATAGAATAGGAATTTCAGACAATCTGGATAATTCTTATTACAATTACTGTTTGGAGAGCAGACTATAGTCTTCAACCTACTATAACAGCACACTGTTATTATTGCTCTGAAAGTGCTGGATAACTAACATTAGTTTTTCCACCAGGACTACTGATAAATAACAGAAGAGAAACTTTCAATTTCCCTGAAGTTGCTACACAGACCTTAAAGACTAATCGACAAAAAAAGATAAGTGTATGTAAAAGTAGCTGGAGCCAGTGGATGAAGAAATAATAAGGAATACGGTGGTGGTTTTGGCATGTAACAAGAAGCAACAGCACACGCCTGAAGAAAAAGTTCAAGGAACCGTCACCTGTTATATTGAAGCAGTCAATACCATACCACAGACCCCTTCAGACAACCCTCTGGAACCATAAAAGGAGGGGCAGGCAAGCAGGAGTCAGATGCATGCATATAAACTCTTAGAAAAATGATGTTTATGCATTATCTAGGACGTATATTGTAATGAATACGTATGATCATGATGGAATAAATATCCCACTGTAAGGTTTCATGGCACACATTTGATGAGAGGATACATGCTTCAGGTGTGTCCAGTGCTGTAATAAAGAATGCCTGCTTTCTAATACTTCAAATTGCGTTAGAAAGTTTATTTCCTGGCTGATTTCAATATTGCTACCCACCTCATAGTTTTCTCGTATCCATAGCTGCCGTTCAAGAAAGGTCTCTTTTTGATGATCTTCCAGGCTGTCAAACTGAGACTGAGACATTTTCATGTACCTTCTTATGATATACAACTTCTCTTCCACACCATACTCTTGCCCTTTAATAGTGAAACAATAAATCCACCAACAGTACCAAACTATGTATTTGCACCAGTAAAAGGGAGCAAGAAGGATCTGAAATAGAAGGATATCATATATTTTGGGCTTCTGATAACCGCCCTTTATATCTATTTTATTTTTAATAATGTCTTTGATAATTTCTTCCTCCTCTTCACGAATTTCTTCTTTAGACCTCCTGTTCTTGCCTTTTTCTTTAGTCTTGTTGAGTAAACCTTGTTGCCTGGCAATCTCAGTGGCTTGTATACGGTATTTTGGCACAGATGCTAAGTAGTTGATAGCTTCATTGTAACTACTCCACCAGCTGAAGAACTGTAATTTAAAAACAGTAAAAGTAAAACCCATGTTTTAATACGGACACATTCCTATTTGGGGGTTTGCCAGGAAAAGAAAAAAGTAATGCTGTCACACACTTTTAACCACAGTTCTATTACCGTAGGGCAAAAAGTGAAGCTAACAGTACTTCTGTGGTATCACAGAAGCTATAATCATCTCTCTAGACTCAGTGAAGCACCCGGGAAACAGATATATAAGTGTATCTCACAGCAATTTATGATGACAAGGAAGGCCAAGCAGACACTGCTCTGAACCATTTTGGTCCTGAGTAGATGGCAATCTCCTGAAAGTTAACACCAGTCTGTGCCAGCCATTCTCAGAAGCCCCTCCTCTTATATTATAAATATAGCAGCTAGTATACAAACATTTAAGTATAAAATTGTACCCTTTTAAAGCAGTTCACTGAACATAAACTAAATACGTGACAATCTCATTAGTCAGGCAGTGCCCACTTTACAAAACTCAAAATACCTCTCTGATCTCCAGCTGTCCTCTGGGCTTCATGGGAGTGGGGGAAAAAAACCCCAAACAACAAACCAGAAATATACTGCCTGGATGAACCCAGAATCATAAAATATCCTGAACTGGAAGAGACCCGCAAGGATCATCAAGTCCAACTCCTAGCCCTGTACAGCACAACCCTGAGAATGCTTCCTTCTGAACACAGAAGCACAAGGTCTAGCAGAGAGCTGATGTTGCTCCCATCTAGTGTCCAATAAATGACCTGAGATGAGGCACGGAAAACAGAAGTAAGAAACTAGAGAGGCAAAAAGCAGCTTGCTTTCATTCTTGGGACATCCAATCATGTCTCACTGACACAACTTTTTTAATAATGACGCATCTCACACCAAGACAAAGGGCAAACATAAACCACTACACAACCTTAGGAAAGCCTAAGAAACAACAGAAAGCAAGATGGGCAAACTGATTTACACAGATGCTTACACTGAATTTAGAACCATCTGGCAGTTGGACTCCAAGTCTACACTTACAGACAAAATAAGAAATAAGATGTGAAATGAAACTTCACCATTGGAACTAAATCTGAAGAAAAATTAGGTTGAATATGCCATTAAAATTTATTATTCTTGAATTCTGATCAACATACTTTTTATTCTAGCTTCTGATATCCCACTAAACACTGAGCTAACTGCACCACAGCGTAAGCTATACCTTGATTTCTTAAACTTCTTGGGTATTTTTAATGATGCTTTGAATGAGTGATTTAAAAGATCTTAAAGAGAAGTTATGCATTTTTGTCCTCTTGTCAGCAACAGCACAAGTTTTTTCATTTAAAACACAGGGGGTTTTCTGGGCCTTGGATCTACCACCTTCAGAGTAAACTGTGCTGAACTGAATTTGCTTCTCTCCTGACTTCATCAATGTAGTGTTTAAAATACACTGCAATGCAAGATTCACACATTAGTAAACTACAGATATTCGGTCCTATCATCTGAATTGAATCTTGAATTGTTTGCTACTAGTCTGCTTTTTTAAAAACCTTACTTATGCATCTTGATAAACTGACACATGTTATTTGGGGTACTAGTCCTGCCTGAGCTACTCAGGCAGCTACTCCTGCCAGGAAGAACCGAGTAAATTCTTCAGAAAAGACGCACATTGTCTCAACAAAATTAAAAGAAACTAATCTTTACTTTTGTTCAAGGTACCAAGGGCAGTCAAAAATCTGCTAAGTACCTCCTGACTTCAGGATTTTTATGGACAGTACACAGAACTGGACCACAGAATACAGGAACAGGGCTGCTCACTGACACTTTTTATTAAATGGCACATTATGAGAGTGGCCACTACTTCTCTTCTTGTTCAGAAACTCACAGAGCAGTACAATGTAAACGTGAAATTTTACCTGAAACACAGAGATGGCACACACTGTAACTAGGATCACTATTGTGACATCTACTTTAGGTGCCAGCCTCCTGCTGTAGTAGTGGTAATAATGCCTGTAATACTCTTCAGGATGATCCAGCATGTAGTCATAATCTTTACGTGTTTCTTCATCCTGCACGATGAGATGAAAAACTCATTCAGGTTTAAATTCCTGCTTTCACTTGCTCTATTATACCTGTGTTTTACATCTCATTAAGGACCTTGCTGCTGTAAACTTGCAACAGCCCAAGTGAGTACAAAACGTAAGAGGAAATTCGTCCTCTTCTCATATTCTCAATTAATTTGTTCACACTTATGTGCCCATGCACATATGACATGTTTAGCCTTAAAATGAATAAGCAGGCACTATGCAAAGGCATTTAAAACTAGAAAACAGACAAGCAACTAAAATCCACAAAGTAAGTTGTTTAACTTCAAAATGGGAAACGCAGATGGACTGGAGTTAATAAGTATTGCCCAGGAAAAGATCTTCAGATGAAGAACCTATTAGGAGATTGTTTGACAAAACTTAAAGGAATTGGTTTACAGGGCTATGGAATCTGTCCAATGGAAAGCCAATTTAAAACCTCATTGTTCTCATGTTCTCTTGAGTTTTCCTTCATTTCTCTCCATATAATTGTGGGATGGGAAATTTAATTTTGCCAGGCTCAACTGCAAACTGCATTCCTTTCAAACTCCGTCCCCCCTTCCCCACCCAGAAAAAAAAAAAAAAAAAAAAAAAAAAAGTAGTTCCCTTTTCTAATCCCCTGTAGCCTCAAAACACTTACAGGTCTCCTTCTTCCATTCCTGGGTTCCATCTTTGCCAAGTCACATATGCTTTGCCCTGAGAAGCCTTCCCTTACAGATCCCATATGCTACTCGAGTCACTGCTACTTTTAAAGGTATACACCTCCAAGATAAAGCCCAGTCGGTTCGTCATAAATAAATAAATAAAACAATTTTAAAAATAGCGCATTCTAGACACAGGAGGATTTTCAAGAGCACTCCATCCTCCTTCCCGCACTCTCGGGCTGGCTACGGAAGGAGGATTTTTCGGGGTGTTTCTCCTCCCCTCCCTGACTGCTTACCGGAGCGGCTCCGGCCGCGGCGGCGGTCCCGCTCTCTCACCTTGAGGGTCTCGTAGGCGGCGGCGATGAGCAGGAACTTCTCGTGTGCCGCCTGTGCCCCGTTGCCCTCGCCGCCCGCGGGTTCCCCGCGGTAGCGGTCGGGGTGGTACTGCCGGGCGAGCTGCCGGTAGGCGCGGGCGATCTCCGCCTTGCTGGCCTGCCGGCTGACGCCCAGCACCTCGTAGCAGACTCGGCGGCCGCAGTAGAGGCGGTCGGTGAGGCCCCGCGCCGGCCGCGGCAGTAGCGCCGCGCACAGGCACAGGCACAGCGCCCACCACCCTCCCGGACACCGCGCCGCCGCCGCCGCCGCCATTTCTCCTCCTCCGCCGCCGCCGGGGCCGTGCGCGCGGCCGGCGGCGGGGCCGGCGCGAGAGGGCGGGGGCGCGACAGGGGGCGGGTCGCGACAGAGCCCGCGCTCGGGGCGGCGGGCCGGGGAGGGAGCTCGGCGTGATCGACGCGGCCGGCACTAGCGCTGGTCCTTTGTCCCCGATTTCTCACAGGCTGCTGCCGCCCCGTACGTCCAGCCACGGTGTGCCCTTGCCTTGCACCCGCGCCAGCGGAATCCTGGGATGCATTCGGGAGAGCACTGCCAGCAGGTCGATGAGGTGATCCTGCCCCTGCACTCAGCCCTAGTGGGGCCGTGTCTGAACTGCTGTATTCAACTCTGAGCTCCAGAGCTCAAGAAAAACACGGAGGTACTGGAAGGGGTGCAGAGGAGGCCACAAAGGTGATTTGGGGCCTGGAACATCTCTCTCACGAGAAGAGACTGCAGGAACTGGGCCTGTTCAGTCTGGAGAAGAGACCGCTGAGAGGAGGTCTCATTAATACATATAAATATCTCAAAGGTGGGTACCAAGAGGGTGGTGCCAGATTTTTCAGTGCTGCCCAGCGATAGTAGGGGGAGCAAAGGCCGTAAACACGAGAAGTTTCACCTCAACATGAGGAAGAAGTTCTTTACACTGAGGGTGGCAGAGCACTGGAACAGGCTGCTCAGGGAAGTCGTAGGGTCTCTCTGGAGGTTTTCAAAACACACCTGGACATGTTCCTGTGTCACCTTTTAGGTGACGCTGCCTTGGCAGGGGGGTTGGAGTAAATGATCTCCAGAAGTCCCGTCCAACCCCAGTAATTCTGTGATTCTTCCAGGGAAGAAACCTCTGAAGTACTTCATGAGCCTGTACCTGGTTTAGGCTTGCTCCCGGTGGAGCTTAGGGTCTGACCACCTGCCATGTGCGGTCCAACGCAATTAACTGGCGTTATCTCCCTACCTGAGAGATTCAGGAACTGTCCGGCTGCAATTCTGTGCCATGTCCTCTAGGGTCGCCCTGCTTGAGCAGGGAGATTGGACCAGATATCCTTCGCGCCTGACCCATTCTGTGATTCTAAGTGATTCTTTCTGCACAGCTCCCTGAAATGGTGGCTTCGAAAGCAAGTCTGCCACCTGTGATGTTCTGTACCCAAAGACTTCTCTTGGAAAGGAAGATTACATCTCTGCTCTGGTGTAACCAGCAGGAACATCACCTCAGTGCTTGACCTTTCCTAGAAAAGCAGATAGGGGCTTGATGCTGTAAATATTCAGCACAAAAATGCTCTTGTTTTGTTCTTAAAACTAGAAATGAGTATGACTCCCATATGGCTGGTCTGTTCTGCTTGTCTCCTTTCTGCATTAATAAATGCTTGTAATTTCCATCAGTTGTGGATGGGTCCCAAATCTGCTTCCTCAAAAAAAAAAAAAAAACAACAAAAAAACCCCACAACAACAACAACAAAACCAACCAACCAACCAACCAAAAAAAAACCCCACAAAACCAAACCAACCAAACAAAAAAAAACCCAAATAAACAAACCAAAAAGCCTACCTCTTTGCAGCTCATTAGAGCCCAGCCTATCAGCATTGGAGGCTGGAAGTCAACTCTTCAGACCCTGACCTTAAAAAATTGTGGTGGGTTGACCTGGGCTGGGTGGCTGGTGCCCACCAAGCTTCCCTATCACTTCCCCTTCTCAGCTGGACAGGAGAGAAAATAAGGTGGAAAATGACTTGTTGGTTGAGATCAGGCAGTTTACTAAAGCAAAAGTGAAAATTTATGCACACACAAGCAAAGAGGAAGAAAATAATTTTATTCTTTACTTCCCATCTGCAAGCCATATCTGGCCATTTCCTGAGGAGTGAGGCTTCAGAATGCATAGAAATTGCTCTGGAAGGCAAACACTGTAAAAAATTAATGTCCCGTGTTCCTTCTTCTTCCCTCAGCTTTTGTATCAGAGTTGACATCATATGCCATAGAATATTGTTTTGGCCAGTTTGGCTCAGCTGGCCTGGTTGTGTCCCCTCCCAGGATCTTGCCCAGCCCCAGCCCTCCTGATGGAGGGAGGAATGTTGGAGAGACAGTGCTGATGCTGTGCCAGTGCTGCTCAGCAATAGCCAAAACACTGGTGTGTTAGCAGCAGCTTTCCCACTACCTGTGCAAAGTGCAGCAGCACTGTGGAGGCTGTTATGGGAAACGAGCTCCTGGTCAGCCAGACACATTGCACAACTGTAGCAAAAATGGTGCACAGAAGGTTTTGTCACCTTTTTTTTCCTGATTAGAGAAACAAGCTAGTCCTCTTGACACCTGACACTTGAACTCACGTCTGCCTTGGGACTGGCCCTGGAGCTTTAGGGAGACGTGGCCAGCTGCCCCCGTGCCACCTGCAGGAAGCAGCAGGGAGCTGGGGAACGGGCGCCACGCTGTTTCCAGAGGTGCTCCAGGGACGCCTCGCCTGGGGCATCTTGCTAAGATGCTCCTTACAGCGATCACATATGTCATCGCAGAGTCTGAGAAAAAGACGCAGTGTGGTGGTCTCTCTGAGCAATCCCAGAGCGGCAGGGGAGGAGGTCTACGGCGCACCTTTTTTCCTTCGGGAAATGGCTTTGGAATTGCGGCTCGGCGGCGCTGGCGGGGGCGGGGCCGTGCCGCTCGGTAGGCGTGGCCAAGCCGGTCAGTGGACGGGGCCGCCCCCGGCTGTGGGCGGGTCTCTCCACCCTCATCCTGCTAGCGCACCCACGGCCGCGCGGGGGCGCCCCACGCCGCTCCGGTCCCGTTCCGTCCCTGCGCCGCCGTGCCCAGCGCGGAGCCGGCGCGGCCGCCATGGAGGTCAGCGCGGACTCCGGTCAGTGCTGCCCCCGCAAACCTCCTCCTCGGGGCCCGCCGGGCGGGGCGGCGGCGGCGGGGCCGGGCCGTGTATAAGATGGGGGCGGGCGGTGGGGATGGCGGCTCTCTCTAAATATAAACTGGCGGTGACAGAAGAACGGGCGCTGCCGCTTTCGAGGGGATCCGCAGGGAGCAGGAGGAGGAGGAGGAGAAGAAGGAGGGGGTGGAAGAGGTGGAGAGGGAGGAGGGGGAGGAGGAGAGAGGCGGCCGCCGGCCCGGTGCCGGTGCCGGAGAGGGGTGGGAGGCGCGGAGCGTCTCTCGCCGCCTCCCCTCCCTCCCCAGCCGGCATCATGGCCGCGGCCGCTCAGGACGAGCTCAGTAAGTGCTCGCGGCGCAGGACTCGCAGCGGGGACTGGCGGGCGGGCGAGCGGGCGGGCGACTCGGGGTTTCCCCGCAGAGGGTCTCCTCTGCGGTGGGGTCCCGGCCCCCGGCCCGGCCGGGCGGTGACGGCAGCGGGGCCGGACCAGCCCTGGGAGGCCATCTCGGGAAGCGGAAAGCGGGAGCAGCGGCACCTTCCGCATCGCATCCCTGGCTCCTCCGCGGACACGCCGGCTGCGTGACCTTGCGGGGTGGCGGCGGCGGCGGCTCCTGGCCGGGACGGAGCCTAGGATTCCTGGCGCATAGGGAGCGGCCTCCGCCCACCGCTCCTGAACGGGCACGAGCAGCAGCGCCTCTGCCCGTCAGTGCTCTCGTCCCGCGATGTGCGACCGCCGTGTTTGAGCTACAGCAGCGGTGTGACACAAGGCCGGCTGGCGCGTCCAGGGGCGGGTTCCCGCAGCCCCTGAGGCGCTGTGCCGGGCTGTGGGTACGGGAGCGCAGCGCGGCCGCCCCTGCGGCGCTCGGCATATGACCGGAGGTGCTGCTGCCGCCGAGCATTCGAGACGGCGGAGCTCGGCCCTGCCTTCTTGTCACCTCCAAGACCCTTTCTCAGAGACTCTGGAAAAGCCACACGCTTAGCTGCTCTCTGGAGAAGGCTATGGAACTTCCAAAAAAAAAAAGCGGTTTTTCTTCCCCTGCTTTTCCTGGACTGGCATAAAGCTGGTTTTTATCTGTGAAGAGTTAATAGCAAGATAGCATATGACTCAGCCAAATGAGAGGGCCTTTGGTTGCCCTGAAATAGTACTTGGCAGTCGTCAGAGAGGAAGGGCAGAAGAAATGCTTTGAGCATATTTGAGCACCACTGGCTTTCAGTACTAAAGAATTTCTGTGTGCTGTTTTTTCGTTTGTGGGGTTTTTTTTGTTTGTTTGTTTCTTTCTTTCTTTAATTGTGAGCTTCTGTGTAGACAACATCCTAATTCTCTGCTCTTTGTTAGATGTTACTGAAACTAGGCTGAGTGATATGAAAATGGTGGTGATGTCCCTTATGTAGCCAAGGTCCCATGGTGGAGTAGAGAAGAATCTTGATCCTGTACTGTTCCTAGAATTGGAGGACCCAAATGCCAAGCTATTTTTTCCATTGACAACTGGTATAAATTGATGTAAGGACAGTGAAAGCTCTCACTCCTGCTGTCATCCAAGAGATTCTGTTAGTTTTACAATGCTAATGTGATTCCTCTTGTTGAAACCAGTTAGTGTGAGCTTTCTTCCTTATAACTCCTTGGCTTTTATCTGTGTGTAATCTAGCTTTCAAGGCTCTAAATCTGCTCCTGCAAAACATTACTCGTCAGCCATGTGCCTGTTGCTACACAGCCCTTTCTCTTAAGCTGGACTACAAAGACAAATGTCCCTAGACTGAGATTTACATTAATAATTACTTTATGCCATTTATGCATTTAACCGCTGCATCCTTCAAAAATGAGGCAGTTTTATTGGATTGCTTAGAAATATTTTTTTCTTTGAGTTAGGGGAAGAATGTATTTTTGGAAATCTTTTTTGTTTAATTTGGTTTTTTTGTGTTTTTTTATTCTTTTGAATAGAAAGTATTGTAATCTTAAAAAAAAATAAGTTAATGGAAGAAAGAGTAACTTCATGTAGAGAAAGAGAGGAAACTAAACCTCCATGTGGGCTTACTGTCTTTTGATACATTCAGTTAGTTAAATTTCAGCATATTTGGAAATAAATCCTTTTTTTAATAGGATGATGACTAGTCCTGAAATAACAAGAATAATTATCATTAGTTTTAGTTTGAAAAACCAAGTTTCCTTGCTTTATATTCACATGGCTGTAGGAAGCTTTCATCTAGAGCCCCAGTCAAATATGGAAGCTCTGTGTAAATGCTGTGTAAGGGATGCCTCTCATTTTAGAGGACAGATTGTTTGAAGGCAGCATAAGATATGGCAGTTTAAAAATTAATGCAAAATCATTAAGTTGGCCCTAAAGCTGTAAGAGTTCAAATGCAGGAGAGACAAGTCATCCATTCAAATTGAGAATCTGTGCCTGGCATATTGCAAATTATTTGGGTTTTGGTGTACAATTCAAGCTTTTACATAAGCCTTTCTATAAAATGAAAGAATAGTATGGGAAAAAAACATAATATATCCCTTCTCCAACAGGCCTTCCTAGCTTTTTCCAGTGAAATCTTGTAAATCAACCTGGTGGCTGGCTGTTTCTACGAGTGCCGCCTTAAGTGTTTTGGTTGTAGGCACACAGTGGGTTACTGGTAGAGACAGGAATAGCACCAGCAAATCCTGGCTCACTGTTTGCTGCTATAATCATACTAGATATATTTTCTCCCAGAGTCTAATAACATTTGAACAAGAATTTGACTCCTATTTTAGTAGTTGCACAGCAGATGAGAACTTTATTCTTTCTTCTGCATGTGAAATAATGCAGAAGCAATTGCTTAGTTCTAGAGAGACAGAAGGTCGTGTTAGAGGTTTTGCTTTAGTAGGAATTTGCCCCTAAAACTACCCCTGCCATCCAGGAGGTGAAGATGAAATGCTTTTATGCCCAGGACTCTTTACTTGGTGTGGGATCCTTTGGAGAAAATGTGGGGGAATGCTTATGCATGTAATGGTTCTACAGAATTCGGGTAATAGAGGAGGTTTCAGGGGTTTTTGTCTGATTTACTGAAACTGTTAGAAATTATTTATTTAGCAGTTCCACCAATCTGTCAAACTGATAGTTCTCAGGAAAGTGAAGATAAATTCTGACTTCCTGCAGAGATCTGGTCTGTTTTGCAGAGAACTCAGACACTCTTTTTAGTTCCTCAGATGTTTTGTGGTTAACAAACTACGAAGTACAGCTAGTTTGACATGTCCTAGCCCCAGCAGTTTCTTGAGTCAGTTGTCATAAAAGGAAGGGTGTGTGTTTTACTTGATACTCTGCTACACAAATGTGCATTGCTGAGGGGTCTGTGTGGAATAACTGGTGTGCTGTACATAATATCTATAAATGCCAGAGGGAGCTGATTTGAAATGGAACTGTGCTTGGCTGAACTGAGAGATTTCTGTGATAAAAATGCACATAGACAGTGGCATAGCTGTGTCAGTAAAGCCAGGCTCTTTTTTTTATAATTAAAATAATGAGGGTAAACTCTTTGAATTCTTGGCTGTATTGAGG